CGGAGCCGTAGTGACTGACACGATTCAACATTCAGCACGGCGCTGCAACTTTTGCCACTGTTCCCCCGACTACTGCTGCAGTTGCAGCTAATTATATATTTGCACACGAAGGCCGCGCGTGTCGGAGGCTCGCCCAGTTGGGCCGCGCCTACACCGTAAAAAGAGGAAACTTGAAATACAGTGGGCCAGAAAACCAGCGGGGGCGGTCAACACTCTAGACGCGTTTTGAGTTCCAGTCGCTAAATGGGACTCGAACCGAACGTGTGACCCCACCAATGGATTGCCCTCCCAACGAGAAATCCAATGATGGGGTCACACGTTGGCTCCGAGTCCTGTCTAGTGACTCTGGAGTTCAAAACGCGTCCGCTCTTCCCCGCAAAGCCACCTTCATCAATTTTTCGGACCAAAACAGCAAACCTGACTCGTAACTCCCGTCCGAAAATACTTTAACGGCCACGATAAACCTGTCGGGATTTGAACCCGGGTACCTAATCTGGCCCGTGTGCGTGAAAACTTAAGTGGGGTCGTTGGGCCGTTACCCAGAGCCCTACGGTGGCCTGCATGGCTAACGCCAGTGTCGTGGAGGCGTTAGCCAGGGAAACGAGAGAGAGAGAGAGAGAGAGAGAGAGAGAGAGAGAGAGAGAGAGAGAGAGAGAGAGAGAGAGAGAGAGAGAGAGAGGAAGAGAAATGCGCGGACTGGCGTGCGTCCGAGAGGAATTATCGCCGAGACAAATGACACGGATGCGGGTGTCCCGGGGTGTCCCTCCACCCTTAGCGCCACAACAGGGCTCAACTTGCAGCGACGTGCCCTGTGGACGCTGGCCGGGTGGCCGAGGCCGCCGGCAGGGCGCGAGGCTAGCTCCACTGTAAACTGCACTTTCGCAGCACTTTGGCGCCAAATTGCCACGGGCCGCGCACCCAAAACAGCCCCGCAGCACAGTGGGCCAGAAGACCGCGGTGGAGGCGGTCGAAATCCCGGACGCGTTTTGAGCTCCAGAGTCACTAAACGGGACGCGAACCGAACGTGTGACCCCACCAATGGATTGCTCTCCGCACGAGGAATCCATTGGTGAGGTCACACGTTCGGTTCCAGTCTGCCCGTGCTTTTTTTTTACAGTGAGCGTTGCTGAAAGGGGAAGGGGTGTCTGGGGCGGGGACGGGAGGGGCGCCCACGCGGACCGAGCCAGACGCCGCAGACAAAAGACAATAACAACAAATTCCTTTGACGCGCTGGCTGTGATGGCCTGCGCGGCAGGACTAAGACGTCAGCAGGTCTCCCCCTCCTCTCTCTCCCCCCCTCTCTCTCTCTCTCTCTCTCTCTCTCTCTCTCTCTCTGGGGCCCTTCCCGGTTCATCACCTGACACACTAATTAAACCGAGGAACTTTGCGCTTCGACGGAGGCCTTCGACCGGCACCCGACACCACGGCACCCACCGGCATACCCCGTCGGCCACTCCCCACTGACCGTCGCCGCCACCATCAGAAACTCCAACCGAAGCCCTGAGCACCCAGGAAACGCCGTTCCAGACATCAAACCAGACATCAAACTCCCGCCGAGGAAATTGCTGAAGCATTTCCCAGGCATTCTAACACGCCGAGTCGCTGCGCAGTGGGCCAGAAGACCGGTGGAGGCGGCGAAAATTCCAGGCGAGTTTTGAGTTTAAGCGAAGTCGCTGAACAGGACTCGAACCGAGCGTGTGACCCCCACCAATGGATTCCTCGTTCGAAGAGCAATCCATTGGTGGGGTCACACGTTCCGGTCGTGTCCAATTTAGCGACTCTGGAGCTCAAAACGCGTCCGGGATTTCGACCGCCTCAACCGGTCTTCTGGCCCACTGCGGAAGGGTCGAAGTCCACCATGACGGCGGTTTGTACTCACCGATGACGGTGAGGTTGACCTTCATGTTCCTGGTGGGCGAGTTCTTGAAGTCGACGCGGCACCGGTAGACGCCCTCGTCGTCGGCCATCACGCTGTCCAGCACCAGGTGGGCGGGGCTGGAGCCCGCCTTGGCGCGGAACTTGGCCCGGTCGCCGAACACGTTCGAGGACCACAGCCTGGCGTTGTCGAAGTTGCCGCCGCGCACGTCAAAGCTGTGGGCCACAAATCAAGGCAGGGCTTAGCTCTGATGCACAGCAGACTGATTTCCGTCGCTCCACAGTGGGCCAGAAGACCGGTGGAGGCGGACAAAACCCTAGACGCATTTTGAGCTCCAGAGTCGCTAAATGGGACTCGAACCGAGCGTGTGACCCGACCATTGGATTGCTCTCCGAACGAGGAATCCATTGGTAGGGTCACGCGTTCGGATTAGCCCCATTTAGCGACTGTGGAGCTCAAAACGCGTCTAGAGTTTTGTCCGCCTCCACCGGTCTTCTGGCCCACTGTGCGCTCTCTCCCGCACTCATCGCGCGCCCCGTATAGGTGCGAGAGAGACGGAGCGACGACTCTCCGAACCACTTAGCAGCTGTCGAGGCACTGTCCGGCGACTGATGTCGTCACAACGGGGCAGCCGACTGTCATCGCTCTGTCTCTCTCGCACGCGAGGGGCATGTTGAGGTGCGAGTGAGACAGAGCGACGAATGACGGGAGCTGTCTCCTGAAGGACACAGCTTGAGCGCGTCGAAGTCCGGCGAGACTCGAAGGCAGCATGTTACAGTGGAGCGACAGCGCCCCTGCGCGGTAGGCAGAAACTGGCACAGCAGCACAGCGTGATGCCTACCCCGACTTCCACAGGCGCTCTCGACGTTTTCACCTGCTTTGGGCCACGCTTGGCAATTCGACTGTGACACTTCAGTGGCAACACGCTTCAGTTTCAAAAGCACTTTGTGCGCGTTCAAATGACCTTCAAAGTAAGGAGTCAAAATTAATTGCTATTCGATAATGAATACATAGATTGGCTCGTGTTCGTTGATGTGAGTTTGGAGTGTGTTGACAGTTATTCGTCTCATGGCCCAGTGCGCAGTGTTCGGTCTTGTTCATGATGAAAACTCAGCCCATCAAAAGTCCAAATCCTAAATTTTGAAAAAAATCTAAAAAATATATATATACACTCTAAATGTCTTACGAAGAAATTTCCCATAATACGAAGGAAATGGCGCAAGCATAATACGAAGGTGGTTTTTCTTCGTATTACGAAGGTTTTTCTTTGTATCTTACAATGAAAAAGCTAAAAAGATTCGTATTACGAACGAATATTGCTTCGTATTATGCTTGCGCCGATTTCACTGTAACATACGAATAACATAGGTCAAATTTCATTGTAAGACATTTAGAGTGTAGCTTTTTTCATCTTTTTTTGGGAAGGGGAGAGGGGGGGGGTGCGTTGCACGCGCTGCAGGCAGATTCAAACCCGTAGCTCTGTCTCTCTCGCACTCGCGGGGCGTTCCGCACGGGTGCGAGAGAGACAGACCACTGTGTCGCGAGGCTGGCTGGAAATAGAGTCGCGAGAAGCGAGGCGAGGAGAGACGCGACGCCGAGACGCAAGGAAGCAGAGCATGAAAAAGAGAGAAGAAAGAAAAAAAAACAACATTTTATCATCCTCTTCTTTTTCTCCTTCTCCCTTCGGCCATTCTAGTCGGCGTGCAAAATGACGATGCCTTTTATTAGCAGTACAAAGGGACGGCCGCCTCAAGTGTCAATTACGTCGGGGATTATTCTTCGCTTTTGCGGTCGTCGCTCTGTCTCTCTCGCACTCGCGGGGCGTCCCGTGAGCGTGCGAGAGAGACAGAGCGAGACTCTCGGAATCAGTCTGCGGCCACGCCGCCGGCCTCGCACGCCGCACAGTGGGCCAGAGAAGACCGGTGGAGGCGGACAAAACTCCAGACGCGTTTTGAGCTCCAGAGTCACTAAACAGGACTCGAACCGAACGTGTGACCCCACCAATGGATTGCTCTCCGAACGAGGAATCCATTGGTGGAGTCACACGTTCGGTTCGAGCCCCATTTAGCGACTCTGGAGCTCAAAACGCGTCTAGAGTTTTGTCCGCCTCCACCGGTCCTCTGGCCCACTGTGGGCCGCCCCGGCCAGTCGTTAGACTGCATGGAAAAAGAGAGGGAATGGAACTGACGCGGACGGGGACGTTTCGCGAGCTTTTAATCACGTAGCGATATGAAAACGGGTGGGGCACTTTGACGGAGCCACGGCCAACAATTGTTTTTTTTTTCAGAGCTGCGCCACCACGAAAAAAATAAATGTTGTTGAAAAATTATTGCAAGAAAAACGCAATATGAATTTAAACCACGATTTTACTAATTTTTTTCGGGGCACTTTGACGGAGCCATGTAGCTGTAGCCACCATTTTTTCAGAGCTTCACCACCACAACAAAATTATTTTGTTTTAAATATGAATTTGAGCTTTTTGTCGAATATTTTGAGAGATATACAGGGAAATGGGAACAGCTCATGCCAATCTTGTTTCATTTCACTTAGCAGCAGCAGTAATTTTTTCAAAGTTAAAAAACAGAAACTTTAAAAAAAAAGAACAGCTGTCTGTGCAGAGTTTGTTGCCAGCAGTAAGGCCTGGTGGACAGGAATCAGACTGGCAAGGCAACACGCCACATTCAGTGGGCACTGCATACCAATGAGACGACGACGACAACAACAACAACAACAACAACAACGGCGAAGCGCATTAGCCTCATCGAGAGATCAGCGACAGTGCTGCTGCAAGGACGGAGGCCTGGCTTGGCTTGACTTTGTGGTTGGAGGGGGGGGAGGGGGAGGGGGAGGCTGGAGTGCGGAGGGCAAGGCAAGGCGTCTCTGTTTCGATCTCAGTCAATACAAAAATCCAATTCCGCGGCACGCCGGGGTCGCGAGCCTTTCGCCGCCTCCGAGGCGTGGCGTGGCGGGGCGGGGCGGGGCGGGGCGTGGCGTGGCGTGGCGGGGCGGGGCGGGGCGGGGCGTGGCGGGCGGGGCGCTGAGCGCGAAAACAGGATAAACGTCAAAACAAATACCGCGGAGGCGCCGCCGCGATGCAGCAACAACAAGCAGGGTTGTTGTTGCTTTTGTAGTGGTGGCGTTGTTGTTTGTTGTTGTTGTTGTTGATGTTGTTGTTTTTGTTGTTGTTGTTGTTGTTGTTGTTGTTGTTATCAACGGGGCGTTGACCACGAAGGAGAGGCACATAGAGGACTGGAGCTCTTTCAATTTTAGACAAAGTCAAAGTAATTAAAACTAATTTAGTTGTAGACTTAACCTTAAATTTCCCTTTTAAAAGAAAAGCAGGAAGAAACAGTGTGTAATAACACTGTTAGCGCTGACTGGGAGAAATACTCTGGCGTTTTAAGAGACTCGCGGTTCGGTCCGTCTGACCGCAGCCGAGGCACGATATCGCGAAATCGCGCGTGGCTACAAATCTGTGACCTTGAAAACCCTTTGGCGCGAGGGGCAAACAACTTCGTCAAAATTTGTACACCGTTATTTCAAATTCACGTTATTTCACGTTATTTCATTGTTATTCCAACGTTATTTCAAGGGTATTTCAACGTTATTTCGCGTTATTTCGTGTTATTTCACGTTATTTCTCGTTATTTCGTGTTATTTCACGTTATTTCGCGCTATTTCACCGTTATTTCACGCTTATTTTGGCGTTATTTCACCGTTATTTCACGTTATTTCACCGTTATTTCACGTTATTTCACCGTTATTTCACGTTATTTCACGGAAAATGTACACTTAAATTCAAGTTGTTTGCCCCTCGCTTTGGCGCGACCGACGGAGGGTCCCTAGTAGCACAGATCAGTCGACAGATTGTCGGTCGACTGTCGGTGCCTCGACTTAAAATTGTCGATCGACTGTCGGCCCCGACGTTTCTCCGTCATCGAAATGGCCCAACTTCCGAGGTCGGACGACAGTCGGCGCCGATGATTTTTCGACATCGGAATCCGATGACATCTCGACATCACAAACTCGGCAGTCAAACAGCCCCCCCCCCCAAAAATAAAAAAAAAAAAAAATTAAATGCTTGAGTGATGTCGATGATCCGAGTGTTCCGAATTTCTTAGCACCCGCTTGCCTCGCCGGAAGGACGCTTCAGCGCCCGCCGCCGGTAGGAGTTGAACCACGGTTCGGTAGCATCGTAGCGCGGACGCTTACCCCGAGACTACCGGACTTGTTGAGGACGACGGCTGCGCGGCTCCGAGCACCTGCCCCGAGCGCGCCGCAGCGAGCTGCTGGCGCGCAGGGGTGGGGGTAGCGGCTCTCTTCGCCCCGCAGAGCAAAGTGGCTGACATCTGGCGGCCAGTCTTGGAAGCTCGATGACAGCGGTCGACACAGCGCTCACACCTGATGGACGCTCCGCAGCAGCCGGGTGCCTTGGCTCGCGAGAGCTTGAAATACGAAGTTTATATTCATTTGTTGCCTTTTTTTAGCCATGGAAGGAAGTTTCGGGACGAATACCAAGTGGTTTAAGTTCTGTTCTGTGATGGAATGTGGAGATAAAGAGGAAAATGTTTATTTATTCCGTCCGTGAAACATCGCTGTCAGCTGTCCGCATGAAATGAAAAACGTTTGGCGAAGTTTGAGGAGATTTTTTTACTAGGAGCGTGGAGTGCACGCTAATTTTATTTTAAAATTCGAAGGAATACCGTCGATCAGTACGGCGCGAAACGCGACAGGCATTTGACGCAAAACGAAACATCTGCGAAAATACGCCACGGGCCACCTAACCTAACCGCGTGTTTCACATCCACTTTTATTCTTGACATCCTCCAACAATTTGCAAAACCGACCACATCAATTGATTCTACGTGAAATGTTACGTCGGATTGCGAGTATATGCTGTCTAGTTAGCATAAACTCTCAATAATATTCGATTTCACGAAAGAGCGTCGGAGCGCGTCCCGATAAACCGGCCGGCGTATTTTCGGTGCAACGTTTGGAAATAAGTTTTACCGGGATGAGTGCCACTCAGACACACCACACACCACATCCGCGATGCCTGACCCGCACTGATCGTCAAAATTTATACTAATATTCTCAAAATTACGATGCACTGTGCACTGTGCACCGCCTAGACAGACAGAACAGGCCACAGACGCGTCGCGAGAGCAAGTGCAGCCAGTGTCAACCACAATCTGGCACCGACGGTGCTGCCACCTGGCGGGGCTCTGCGGGGCGACTACGTGCGGCTGCTGCGCGCGGTGGAGGGGGGTACGGCGCCGCACCAACGCAAGCCACGCCAACATCGGGACTTAGAATTTTCACGCGTCTTTGGAGCGCTTGCACCGTAGCGCCGGCGGCTTGTGAGGATTCCGCAACTTTTTGTTTTACGCTGAGCGGACAGGCTTCACCATCTGCCCTACGTGGCGCGGACCACTCACGAAGTCCCCGAGAAGCGTCCGAGTACCCCTGTCTCTTAGAACGTTGAGTATAATCAACTCCCTCGCTTCCTAGCGCAGCGGTTCTCGACTTTGGAGTCGCGAAAAAAAATTGTGGTGTCGCGGCGATGTAGCTGGGGTCGCCTGGGGTCGCGGCGGTTTCCCAGCTGGCCTACAGGCCGAGCAGTGCCGGGAACATCAATTCGCGGAAACTGGAAAACCCACTGCCTGTTTGTCGCTGCATGGAAGGTTGAAGGCCTGCCAGCGCCGTGAGCAAGCGGGAAAACCCTTCTTGGAAGTGTAGGTAGGGGACGGGGATCAACTCTTTTGAGGTAAGGACTCCTCCTCCACGACCACGGCCGGTCGCCACCGATTCGTTATCGCTTGGTTGTCGGAAGCGCGATGGTCGGAGTTTCCTGAGATTTTCCGTATCGTGACAACATCAAGTTCGACAGCTTCTCGACAACGGCCAGTTGCCATCCAGTCGTTATCGTAGGGTTGTCGGGAGCGCGATAGTCGAAATTTTCACATCGCACTGGCATCGGCCCCGATAATTCCTCGACAACGGCCGTTCGTCTTCGACCGACTATCGCAGCGTTGTCGAGAGCGCGTTATCGGCCGGCCGATAGAATGGCGACATCGAGTCACCAAATGTCGACCGAGCGACAGTGCGACGACAGTCGCTCGACAAGCGAAATAACGTTATCGGCTATCGACGTGCCGATACAATTTCGACTGTCGATCGACAAGTCTGTGTTCCTAGGGGTGTGGATTGTGCGCGCAAAGTCCTTGCGGCCTGTCGCCTTTGTGCGCACGGCAGCGCGCGTGCTCGCGCCCCCCCCCCTCTCTCTCTCTCTCTCTCTCTCTCTCTCTCTCTCACTGTGACCCTGCTCTAGTCCCTGATCCGTAGGCAATTTGGTTCCCCTGGGACCGACGGGGCACGATTCGCGGTTCGGGGATCCGGCCGCAGAAGCTAAGGGCGAAAGTGGCGTGTGTGTGTGTGCGTGTGTGTGTGTGTGTGTGTTTGTGTGTGTGTGTGTGTGTGTGTGAGAGAGAGAGAGAGAGAGAGAGAGAGAGAGAGAGAGAGAGAGAGAGAGAGAGAGAGAGAGAGAGAGAGTGCGTGAGAGGCAAAGTCCCGTCGTCCAAAGTCTTCCGCATGCTTCACACTCACACGCGACTCTTGCGTCGCGGGACGCGGCGACGCCAAGGCGACGCTACGAGACGCGGAGGGACATTTGCATGGATTTCCGAGTTTTCCGAGTTTTCTCTTTCCCGCCGCAGGCCGAGGTTGGTCCGCTTCGGAAAGCGTCTTTTTGGGACTTTTGAGGAGCAGCTACTGAAACATTGACGGGCCGTCGACACGGCCAGGCCACGCACAGTGGGCCAGAAGACCGGTGGAGGCGGCCAAAACTCTAGACGCGTTTTGAGCTCCAGAGTCACTAAAGGGCGCTCGAACCGAACGTGTGACCCCACCAATGGATCGCTCTCCGAACGAGGAATCCATTGGTGGGGTCACACGTTCGGTTCGAGGCCTGCTTGGCGACTCTGGAGCTCAAAACGCGGTTCGAGTTTCGGCCGCCTCCACCGGTCTTCTGGCCCACTGTGCGGCGCCAGCCACACGTTTGAATTGTGCATGCATGTTCGAAGTAGCACTTTGGGTGTGGGTGCGGGGTGTCGTGAAAAGGGGACTTTCACCCACAGATCCTCGAGGTGACCCCGCAGCCCCCGCAGCTTGCGCGGATTCCTGACTCCGAACACGAATCCGGCCGGGAGCGTAAAGAGAGGGGTCCGAAGGGAGGAGAGAACGGCAGTGCCTGCCAAACCGCGTCGCTTACATTATTCCGACTTTTCTTCTGCTTCCCTGTTTTTTTTTTCGCTTCTTTAGCACCAGTGGCGTGCACTCTCAAGCAATGCACACTGAGAAAACCTTTCAAACTATTTAAGGCCTTACAAAAAAAAGTAGTTTGTTTTAACAAAGTATTTAAGCTTACAAAGAAAATACTTTGTAACTTACGCCCTACTTCTTCGTATAGCAAAGTAAATTAGTTTTTATTGTGTATGCTCAAAACACCTCGTATGTTTTTAGGCGTGCAACTCAGAACGAGTTAACATTTTTCCGGTGTGCGATGGATCGGATAAGTAACATGCACTGTACCAAAATCACTGTTGCGAAGGCGGCGTCATTAGAAGGCGCGGAAGTTTCCACACTGATAGTCGCGAAAACGGGGTTCGTTTCGTTGCGCTACGCGCGTGGTGTCGGCAAGACAACCCCCTCGCGTTCCCCCACACCCTTAATTGGTTGCGAGTCGACTAGTCGACTATGCCGAAGCGATAAATCGACGCTACACTGCGGCGCGGCACACAGTGGGGCAGAAGACCGGTGGAGGCGGCCGAAATACCGGACGCGTTTTGAGCTCCAGAGTCGCTAAACAGGACTCGAACCGAGCGTGGGACCCCACCAATGGATTCCTCGTTCGGAGAGCAGTCCATTAGTGGGGTCACACGTTCGGTTCGAGTCCCATTTAGCGACTCTGGAACAGAAAACGCGTCGTGAGTTTTGACCGCCTCCACCGGTCTTCCGGCCCACTGTGAGTCGCCCAGTGCGTAAATTAAATCGCACAGAGCCGCCAACGTGCCAAAACCTAAATGGCCGCCGCAGCCCGGTTCTTCCAGAAACGATAATTAATTTTCGATACACTCGATTGAAGTGCCAGGAGCACTGCGAAGGACTGGCAAGGACTGGCGACGCGGCGAGGCAGGCAAAACGGGGAAGCCCTTTCACGTCAAACGCGCGGCCCATTGTCAGCGACACACACACACACACACACACACACACACACACACACACACGCACGCACACACACACACACACACACACACACACGCAAACGCTCGCAGTACATGAACACAAACAATCAAACAAACAAGAAAAATAAGGAAATCGGGACTGCTCCCTATTATTTAATCCACACATCCCCGGCGATGAAAGGAGAAAGAGAAAGGGGCGGGGGGACTTTTGTCTGGACTGACGCTCCAGCGATAACTGATGATGAAGATTAATTTTTTGACGGAAAGAATGCACACACACACACACACACACAGAGAGAGTCAGACAGCAGGCGCAAAAACAATCCACACACAAACACATGTGGACGCTCACATGCAGTGCAGGGTAAAATAATAAAGCACCCGCACAGACGGGTATTTCGTTTACCATGCATATTGAACGACCCATCGACCCATCCGGGAGGGGAAAGGGCATTGATTTCCATCCGCAAATTTTTGAACTGCTGCACAGTGGACCAGAAGACCGGTGGCGGCGGACAAAACTCTAGACGCGTTTTGAGCTCCAGAGTCGCTAAATGGGGCTCGAACCGAACGTGTGATCCCACCAATGGATTGCTCTCCGAACGAGGAATCCATTGGTGGGGTAACACGTCAGGTTCAAGTCCCATTTAGCGACTCTGGAGCTCAAAACGCGTCTAGAACTTTGGGACGGTTTCGATAAATGAACGTACCTGTAGAGAGGCTCGCCGTCGACCGCCTCGAACCACAGCACCATCATGACGTTGTCGTCCTTGGACGGGGGCTCTATGTCGCACGGCAGGGACACTTTCCTGCCCATCACCCCCTCCACGTGCTCCAGAGGAACTGCAACAAAAAAGGGAACCAAAAATCACAACGTGTTTGCAAAGAACAAGATCGCACCAAGTTTCGCTTGGCGATTCATAGTCTGACAAAGAATCGCAACAAAATTTCCTGCCAATACTTATGTCTACCCATTTTTCATCATTTACGAAAAAATATGATGAAATTGCAGATAAACGTGTTCAATCTTTTTAGTGAATTGGGAACAGTTTTTACGAGCAGAGACTTTTCTTCTCTCTACAGCGGAGAGAGCGGACGGACGGTGTCCTAGCTTTCTCTCCACCGTGACGCCGGTGCAGCCACCCCGGGCGGGAGTCGAACCCGGACCTTATCCAGACGCCATCCGACACAGTGTCACTCCTAATGGCCGTGCTCATGGCTGCCGCGGGCTACGGCAGGCTATGGCGGGCTATGGCGGGCTATGGCGGGCCCAGGTTGCGTCGCCTAACCCATTCACGATTCGGGGACGTCTAGACGATGCGGCGATAGAGCTAGCCGGTGTCGCGGCGCGCCGTGGCGGGGCGGGGCGGGGCGGGGCGGGGCCGGGCGGGGCGGGGCGCGGGGGGCTGGGGTTACGGCCCATTGGGCGCGACTCCCAACTACACCACCACGTCGTTCCACTGTCTGGAAGCGTCGGGCCGGGCCGTGTGTGCCACGATGTGCTGGCAGGCATTAACCTGTTGTACGATTCGCCCACCCCAACTCCAAGTCCTCCTCCCTCTCCCCCTTCTCCTCCTCCTCCTCCCTCCTCCTCCTCCTCCTCCATACCAACCGATCCGGCTTTACTCCGTCGTAGCAGTGTCCTGTGATCCTCCTAAAAGCGCGGAATGCGAGCGCGCGTGAGTGCAGGATGTGATGGTGCGGGACGTGGGAACTGGGGCCCTCAACTAGCTTTCCAAATTGTTTGCTGGTGCAATCATCTCAACGGGAAAACAGCAGGATACAACATCATTTTAACTTAGATTAGTTCAAAAAGATTCTGAAAGTTTTAGAAAGTTTTCTAAAAGTTAACAAAAATTCTGAAAATTTTGAAAATTTTACAAAAAAATTATAAAGAACCCTGATTTTTTAAAAATCTTGAAAATTTGCGAATTTTAAGGGAAGCGCTGTGAGTTAGTACTCGTCGGTTCTTCTTTATCACTGTCCGCGGGAGCGTCGATATACATCAGGATAATGCAGGCATGCACTCGTTAACTTTCGTTAATGGGCGCGAAGACTGGCTCTGGTTAATCAGGTTTTATTTCACGTTAATTCCCAGGTAATTTTTAAAATCTATAAATGTCAGGCAGTCTCCCTTTTTTGGGGCCCTCTTTTCTGCCCTTTTTCCTCTTTTCGTCAGCGGGTCGTTCTCCCAATTTATACCCCCCTCTCTTCTTCAATCAAAAACTCCCCTCTTCCTCCCCTCGATGCAGGCTGTTCGCGTCCCAGCCCGTAACTGGGGTCTCCCTCTTTCCGCCCCCCGGTTTTGGCCCCCTTTTTAATCCCCCCCCACTTCCACACCCCTCCCCCTGTTGCGTCCAGCCTTTTAAAACCCCCAAAAAATTTCCCTTTGCGCGTTTTGGGCTTTAGAGTCGCTAAACACGACTCAAACCGAACGTGTGACCCCACCAATGAATTGCTCTCCGAACGAGGAACCCATTGGTCGGGTCACACGTTTGGTTCGAGTCCTATTTAGCGACTCTGGAGCTGTCGAGCTCAAAACGCGTCTCAGTGGCAGCGCTGCCGCCGTAAAAGAGTTCTCTTCTGGCGAAAGATGAAGAATTTAATTGGTTCCACGTCATGAGAAAGCAGGTGGGTTGGTCGAATCACAGCCAGAACGGGCCAACTTTGGACGGAGACCAGCCAGCCGGCCCCGCCCCGCCCGTAATGATCAACTTAAGGGGGACACACTTTATGAGCTCAATTTTAGTGGTTGTTAAAAACACTTTAGCACAAAGTGAAGCCGACGGCAACGGCTGCCGACGCCAGCGCCCCACGGCGCCTGATCCTCCAGAAGCGGCACTCCACGGCCGCGACACTCCACCGTAAGACGGCCATGAGGCGAGAGCGGCCTGTGGGCCAGAAGACCGGCGGACCGGCCAAAAATCTAGACGCGTTTTGAGCTCCAGAGTCGCTAAATGGGACTCGAACCGAACGTGTGACCCCACCAATGGATTGCTCTCCGAACGAGGAATCCATTGGTGGGGTCACACGCTCGGTTCGAGTCCCATTTAGCGACTCTGGAGCTCAAAACGCGTCTAGAGTTTCGGCCGCCTCCACCGGTCTTCTGACCCACTGTGCCGAGGGAATAAGCTGCGAATTACTGCCAGTGGAACGACGGTGTACTTGGCGTGTATGTGCAGGACGTGAACGAGTGGACGGGGCGAAGGCCAATATCCAGCTCGGCTCATAAGTGACTGAAAGGGGGCGAGATGCGAATGGTCGGGGGGGATGTGGACTTAGCTCTCGCCAATATCCCACGCTAGCCAGTTCCAGGGCGGACGAGGGGAGCCCGAGCCACTAAAACGGCCCAGGTAGGGAGGGGAATAAAAAAAATAATGGAAAAGAAAGTGGGGGGAACGTACGAGCCCTTCGGGATGGCCCGTATTACGGTGTGTGGACAGCGGAGTTTGTTGGGTTGCCTATACCGTCCATCCACAGGGGACGGCGGAGCGAGCCAAGCACTGCTATTAAGCGAGTTGGAACGGAGACGAGGAAAACGAATTGCAGCGCAAAATTAAGTGAAACCCACTACTCACTCGAACCGAACGTGTGACCCCACCAATGGATTCCTCGTTCGGAGAGCAATCCGTTGGTGGGGTCACACGTCCGGTTCGAGTCCCATTTAGCGACTCTGGATCTCAAAACGCGTCCAGCGTTTTGGCCGCCGCCACCGGTCTTCTGGCCCACTGTGGGGCGTTATCATTCAATTGGCCATTCCCAGCGCGGCTTCTCCTCCGGCGGGCTGCACCCTTCCCCTCCAGGACCCTCCAGAACGGATTACACGAGTGTTTGCCGAGCAGGATGCGGCAGGATGCGTCTCCCCTCCCTGCCTTAGCTGCCATCAATCACACGGAAGGATGGCAGCTGTTTAGAGAGAGAGAGAGAGAGAGAGAGAGAGAGAGAGAGGGGAGAAGGGGATGTGCGGACACAGACACTCGACCAGTCGAAAAAAGGAACACTTCTTATGCCGAGTGTGCGAGTTTTCGAAAGGAAGAAAAAAGGCTGATGAAAAAAAAAGAAACACTTCAGACGGGAGCAATGTACGGAAGAGTTCGGCAAAGAAACGTTAGAAGAAATTATCAAAAACCTCGATTCAAATGGCCAAACTGCACTCCTGATTTCTTACGGTGAAAGGCTGCACTACCATATGATTGTGAAGGTTTTCTCCAGAATACAAACAAAATTCGTCAAAATATCTGTAAGGTACCAATGAATTCTCAACGGTATGTTATAAAGTCAGCTGCACTACAACCACAATATAGAGAATTGTCGCCATACTTTTGAGAATCTTCTCGATACAAATTTTAGAGTGTATTGTCGAGTTGCTGAAACATCGAGAGCGTACCGATGCGCGGCGCGCACTGAGGTTCGCGGAAGGCGGCTCCAATTTCAAGACGCCTCTTCCTCGTCGTGCTCGTCGCCGTGCGAGGCGGGCGCAACGCGACGCGCCGTCCCGAGTGAGCGCTCATTCAGCCAGTCGCTCTGTCTCTCTCGCACTCATGGGGCGTCCCGCATGGGAGCGAGAGAGACAGAGCGACGAAAACGACATTTCCTGTTTTGCCAAATAAAAGGCGGCCTCAAATAAAACGCGGAAACGAAAGGAGCGGCAAGACGGCAAACATCAAAACACAAGAAAAAAAAACGAAAAAAAAAGCAAAGAACGCAACACTAGTGGAGTACAGCTGAGCCCCTTTGGATTCAGTGTTGCCACAAAAGCAGGCGAAAATTCTCAAGATGCGCCAGTGTCGATAGGGTTGCCGACTTCACCCCGCCGAGTAGAGTACTTCCAGCGAGCAAAGCCTGATATCGCCAAAAAGGCGGGCGGAGGTTGGCAACCCTATCCACACCGGCGCATTTTGTTTTTTTTTACAGGTTGGACACACTGCGCGGTGTCACACCGAATTCTGTCCGTCGAAACAGTTACAGAAAGCAGATCGGGCGGTGCAGAGTGGGCCGGAAGACCGGCGGGGCGGCCAAAACTCCAGACGCGTTTAGAGCTCCAGAGTCGCTAAGCAGGGCTCGACCCGAACGTGTGACCCCACCAATGGATTCCTCGTTCGGAGAGCAATCCATTGGTGGGGTCACACGTTCGATTCGACTCCTGCTTAGCGACTTTAGAGCTCAAAACGCGTCTGGAGTTTTGGCCGCCCCGCCGGTCTTCCGGCCCACTGTGCGGTGCCTTTCTGCTAGACAAAGAGGGCGTATGACGTTGTCATTGTTCCGTTCCGTCGAGGGGCGGGCAGACTGAGTCCGAGATACGTCGCTCCGTCTCTCTCGCACTCTAGGGGCGTCCCGTTGAGGTGCGAGAGAGACAGAGCGCCTTGCCTTGCCCTCCGCGACCGCGGCACCGCGAGTTCCGCCTTGAGATACGGGTCCGCGATAGGGTGCCCAGGTGGTTGGTCGCGGCGGCTTGGTCGGGCCAGCCCTTGGGCCAGCCGCTGCCCAGGCCCATTGTACACTTGTTACGAGGCTAATCTCAATCAGATAGCAAGCAACAACAACAACAATAACAACAACAGTCCGTCTCTCTCGCACTCATTATCGATGCCGATACGCGGTGTAGGGGTTGGCGGAACGGGTCACCGCGTCGGCTCAAAGGCCTGGCGCGATAACCTGCGCCTTTTTGTGAGCCGTCTGCGTTTCCAGTGGCGCAGTCATTTCCACCGGCACAATCCACAGTGGGCCAGAAGGCCGGAGGCGGTCCCCGGACGCGTTTCGAGCTCCAGAGTCGCTAAGCAGGGCTTGAACCGAAAGTGTGACCCCACCAATGGATTGCTCTTCGAAGAGCAATCCGTTGGTGGGGTCACGTTCGGTTCGAGGCCTGTTTAGCGACTCTAGAGCTCGAAACCCTTCTCGAGTTTTGGCTGCCCCCACCGGTCTTCTGGCCCACTGTGCAGAGTGCCGGGCTGCCGGTTCCTGTTTTCACCGGCCACTTTGAGTACCTGCTCGCTGAATCTGGTTATTGGACGAATCTCTGAGGGACGAAATCGTGCTGTTCCCGAGACGACCTGTCGTTGGGTCCCCGCAGCAACAATTGACAAACCTGCCGCTTCTTTGCTCTGGGCGAGTTTTGCATCTAAAAGGGGCCGCGGGCAAGATGCCTGAGATTATGCCGACCGAAATAGAGCGAAGGTCGCTTTATTATGTACTTTGTTTTGGGATCGTCCATGATGCCCGAAATGCACCTGTTCAATAAAAAAAAAATGCATGTCATCAAACATGTCTTCAAAACATCAGGAATCCTCACAGTCACTGCATAAGTTCGTTCTAGGTTTGTTTGCAGTTACGAAGACGCTCTCTCTCTCTCTCTCTCCTCTCTCTCTCTCTCTCTCTCTCTCTCTATCTATCTCTCACTCTCTCTCTCTCTCTCTCTCTCTCTCTCTCTCTGTCATGGCGGACGAGTGAGACGGTTGTTGTGGTCGTCAGTTTTGAAATGTCTTTATAAGATAATTGTGGATGTTGTGTGGCTCTGGTGAAGAAGAGTTGTTGGTTGCAAGTTGAAGCAGCGGTGCAAGTGTTAGCCTTATCGTCTGGTGAACTCTGGCTGTCAAAACCGTGATTCGAGAAAGCCGACCACCGGCGAAGAAAGAGAGGTTAGGCGTCCAACTGCCTGCCACCGCCTTCCAACATAGAAACCAGGTTGGCAGCACTGCGCAAAGTTCAGGCAGCAGCGGTTGGCACCTCCGAAGATGGCATCCGGCACCAGAGCCAACAACAAACAAGCAGAAGAAATCTCGGAAAAGACGCTGCAGAAGATAATTGATAAAGTATACGAGAAATATAAGGCAGTCATTGACGAACAGCAAGTGACAGTTAAAAACTTAAGTGATGAGGTGCAGAAATTGAGGGAGGTTAATGCCAAGCTGAACGATGAAATTGAGAAGTTACAACTGGCTGCTGACAATGCCACTCGAAGATTTGATGAACTCGAACAGTACGGCCGACGCAATAACCTCCGCATTTGGGGAATCAAGGAATCTGCCGGTGAAGATGTCGACAAGTTGGTGGTGGACATGGCAAGGAAAATCGGTGCCAATATTGATGGGTCATGTCTTGACAGAGCCCACCGCGTTGGCAGACCGTCGTCTAACAATAAACCAAGGCCTATTATTGTTAAATTTACTTCCTACGCCCACCGCCGTGAAATGTGGAAAAACAAGAGGGCCCTCAAGGGCAGCCCGGTGTCCATCGCAGAAGACCTCACTAGAGCTAGGGCAGCTCTACTGTACAAAGTGAACAACACCTATCCTAGAAAGACAGTGTGGACCTCTGATGGGGTAATCTTGGTGAAATATAATGATACAGTTCTGAGGATGGTGACCGAGGAGGACTTGGATGAGGCGTACAGGAGATACCCGCCAATCAGAGACTCATAATTATCCTGTTGCTGCTGTTAATACATTGTATATCTTTATCTTGTTAACCTGATCTCATAATGTGTTTTGTTATTTGTCTGTATTTAATCTGCTCGTATTATTTACTTGTTGAAACTGGTGACCCTTCTTTAATCTGTTTTTCTGTTCACAGATATTCTAAATACTTGATATACATTTTATAGGTTATACGCTATGGAGGAAACAAATGAGATTATGCGAAGCAAACTCAAGGAGATGGCTAAACATAAAGATAAATTGAAAGTGGCTCATATCAACGCTCAGTCTCTGAATAATTCAAACCACTTTACAGAGTTTTGGGATGCATTCTCCAACAGCTCTGTGGATGTAATAGGAGTAAGTGAGACCTTTTTCCAGGACGGCAGTCGGATGGACATTCCCAATTACAATGTATTTAATGTTAATAGAAGTTCCAGGCGTGGAGGTGGAGTGGCACTGTATGTCCATAATCGGCTGAAAGCAAAGCTTTTAGCCAAGTCAAGCGGTGATAGTTTCAGACCTGAATTTATTATAATTGAGGTTAAGTGTGCTAATGAAACTGTACTAATATCATGTGTCTACCGACCACCAAAAGTTGGCTTTCTTGAAACGTACCTTGATGCTCTGTATGAATTCTTACCGCATTACAAATATTCTATAATATGTGGAGATTTTAATGCCAGATTTGGAAGCGGATCTTATGAGACCAAACCGAGGGGGAAACAACTTGAAATAAGGTGTACATTTTTTCGGAAATAAGTTGAAATAAATTTGAAATAAGTGAAATAAGTTGAAATAAGTTTGAAATAAGTGAAATAAGTTGAAATAAGTGAAATAACTTGAAATAAGTTGAAATAACTTGAAATAAGTTGAAATAACTTGAAATAAGTTGAAATAAGTTTGAAATAAGTGAAATAAGTGTGAAATAAGTTGAAATAAGTGTGAAATAATTCGGAAATCCCCGTTATTTCGACTGCCCCGAGCACCAGGGGGCGCGTTGGGAGGGGGGGTGAACGGTGGCATACGGAACCGTGAACAGCAATGGGAACGTGGATGTGAATGTGTCAAGAAGCAAAGGTGGGGGCACGTGTGGATGGTGGGTGACGTGTGACGTTGTATGACTTAACCACAACCTCTCACTGGGCTAGAGAATTTTTAGCAGATGATACCTGCACACTTGAAACATACTTAAAACTACTATACACATGAAGGTGCCAGTCTGCTTTTACTCTTGAGTCCAGAAACCAAGCGCGTATCCTATCAATATAATAGGGGCTGGCTGCCGGGGCCGGGGCGGGATGTGGCAGTGAGGCGCAGCCTGCGCGGAATTCGACAATACCTCCCCGGTACAGCGCCAGCGGCACCGGGCGTAAACAATGGCACCCCCTCCTCGCGCGCGACGGCCTGCGCGCGACGGCCTGCTCGCAACAGTGACAATCCCTCCCCGCCTGCCACGGCGCGGAATATCGCGCAACAATGCCTCCCGATTCGGCCCGGCCTAGGGCGCTCGGGCTCTGCGGCGAGCGGTGCAGGCCACGGCTCGGCACGGCTACTACCAAACAGTTTTGCAGTGGGTGGGTCGGCTCGACCCGCCGCCTGGGCTGTGCGAGAGAGAGCGACTGTACACGGGTCTTGGCAAAGCGGCAGCGACCAGCGATGTGGCCCGGCCATCCCCCCCCAGCCAAATGTTGTCAAACTGTTCCGGGACGGTCCCCGTCACCGGCCGGCAGTGTCGCTGACGGCCCGGCGAGCAGCGTTGAGGTGCGCGCTTGCCTGGGCGAAGCGAGCACATCATGCGTCTCTCTCGCTCTCAAGGCGGACCTATGGGAGAGACAAGGACGGCTGCGGCCGAGCATAAGTAATTTCGTTTCACAGAAAGATGCTATTAATTCTCTCTGGCGTGAATTGGATTCTTTGTTGTCTAATTTTGCAGGTCTGTTAAACAAAGCGTCCTGTAGTTCAATTTTAAAAGAGCAGATACGACTGAGTTCGAAGTATGTCGCTACACAGTATAATTCATCGTAGATTTTGTGTGAATATATTTCCACAACGGTTACTAACCAAGTCGCACTGCTGGAATTCTGCTCTCGTCCTGGATCAAGTTCAACAGGTTGATTGGGTCCGATTAGCAAGTTTTAATTTGACCCTAGGCGACCCTAGGTTTAACCAACGCAAGGTTAAAATTGAGTAAAAGCACGTAACAGCTTGAGTTTAAGTATAAGTATGGTTAAAATAAGTGTGAAATCGGCTGAATTATGTTACAATTAGTGTGCAATGAGAGGAAATCTATGAAATAAGTTGAAATAAGTGTGAAATAAGTTGAAATAAGTGTGAAATAAGCTGAAATAAGTGTGAAATAGTTTGAAATAAGTTTGAAATAGGTGAAATAAGTTGAAATAAGTGAAATAAGTTGAAATAGATTTGAAATAAGTGAAATAAGTTTGAAATAAGTGAAATAACTTGAAATAAGTGAAATAACTTGAAATAAGTTTGAAATAAGTGAAATAATTTGAATTTGAAATAACGGTGTACAAAATTTTCCCAAGTTGTTTCCCCCTCGGACCAAACTAATCTCTGAATTGTTTGATTTATGTAATCATACCCCCATTCCCTTTGAGGCTACTTACAAGTTGGATTCTTGTAGATCAATTCTGGATGTGATTGCCAGCAATTGCAATGAACAAGTTGTAGAGTATGGTCAGTGTGTTGCTCCTGGTTTCTCAGCTCATGATATGATATACAGTGTGTATGATTTCCATGTACCGGTTGTTAAGAAAAAAGTCATAACCTTCAGAGACTTTAGGAATATTGATAGAGATGCCCTTATTTGTGATGCCAAGAGTATTCCTTGGACCCAGGTGTATGACTGTGAGAACTGTGATGATAAAGTACAAGTGTTTAATGATTTTCTGTTGCAGCTTTTTGAAAAGCATGTTCCTATCAGAAATGTGTGTGTAAAAAATGATGAACCACCTTGGATGTCTGACGATTTAAGAGATATGATTGAGGAAAGAGACAAGGCAAGGGTAAAATCACTGAAGACGAGTGATCCGGAAGATTGTAAGTTGCATAAAAGCCTAAAAAACAAAACTAAACAACAAATCAGAAATGCTAAAATAAGACATTATCATGGGATTTTTAATAAAAATGAATCTTCAGGCCAGATTTGGGCTAGTATTCGTCAGCTTGGAATTGGAAAGAAAAAACAAGCCAAAGTAAGTGATTTTCCAGTGTCTGCTAATGAGTTGAATGATCATTACTTGAATGTCTCGAAAGTGGACCATCCTGAGCTAGGCACGGCCACTGAGCAACTGTATAACTGTGATAATGGTGATAGTGATCCTGATAATGTATTTCATTTTAAGTTTGTGCCTGCCCTTGATATATATAAAATTGTTAGTGGCTTTAAGTCTAATGCTGTTGGTGTTGATGGAGTATCTTTAAGATTTGTTAAATTGTTTCTAGATGAAATTGTTTTTGTATTAGAGCACATCATTAACTTTTGTCTTCAGTCAAGTGTTTTTCCCTCTCTATGGAAATGTGCCAATGTGTTGCCTCTACCCAAGGTATCTAATCCCACTAAATGCTCTGATTTTCGACCTGTCAGCATCTTATGTCTGTTTGCAAAAATTCTTGAAAAGATTGTTCATGACCAGATCTACGATTATGTTAGTGATCTTAACATAATGAACCCGCTTCAATCAGGATACAGGAAGGGTCATAGTACGGTCACTGCTCTTCTGAAAGTTGCTGATGATATCAGACAGTCTATTGATCATAGGAAACTGACTCTCTTAGTACTACTTGACTTTAGTAAGGCCTTTGACAGAGTCAACCATAAGCTCTTGTTAATTAAGCTCAGAAAACTTGGATTTTCGATGTCAGTTGTTAAATGGCTTGAACATTATTTGTCAAACAGATGGCAGAGAGTCAT